ATTATATTATATTATATAATTATATATTATATTACAAATGAAAGTTAAAACTGTTTAATCGGTAGGAAAATTATTAGAGCCTAACTACCGTTGTGTACGTTACTCATAGACGTGGATATATCCTTTGGTATCCTGTTTGAACGATATGATTCCGGTTGATCCCCGTAGACAAGCTGAATATGAGTTTCCGATTGTTCAGCAAAACTTCAATAGCTGTGAAAATAATACAAAATGTGAAAGAAATGATGTTGCGAACGATGAATTTTCTCTATTTATAACATCACCGAGAATAGCCATGATGCCACGTACAATTATCGATACGAGGATCGTTATCGTTGGAGCATCAGACTGCGGAATTGCTTTCGCAGAGTATCTGGCTTTACGGTAAAATGTTTTCAACTATAACACTTGCAGTGTTGATGATACGAAGCTTACCAAACGATATATTTCTTTATATGATAATATAACGTTTCAAAAATATCCAAGGACATAATATATACGTTTTCTCTCCTAACTATTCTCAATATGAATTCTGTAGATTAACGCAGCGTTATACACAATTGACAAATCTTACGTTAATATCGCCGCATGGTATACCATTTGATAACGAATCGGGTCGTTCAAACTATTGTGAGTACTTGTTTCCATTCCGAGGAAGGTTTCATTCGGGATATCGTCGCTGTGTAGTCGCACGGACTTGGCTTAACATCATCTACGGAACTATGGCAGCGATCAACAGGTAGTCTTTCATATGTTGATAGACATACGACACTATCCATCAACAATTTTCGATTTTCGACGAATTAATCCAGCAATGTTGACGAGATGACAATCGATTCGAATTTTCTTACGTTAGGAGGGAGAAATATGTGACTGTGATGAATCAAGGAAATTTCGCGTACGATTATTTGGTTTTAGCGTGTGGCTTACAGTATCAGAACTCGACATTATGGGAGAAAATAAAAATGAAAAAGAAAGAGTAAAGATTGTTTATAATATATTATAGTACATACGTATAATACATATAATGCAGTCCGTAATATAAATCACTCTGAACACCTCATTGCCCGACGTAAGAGAGTTACACGTTATGTTTATTTTTCAAGAAGAAACAAGGTACAAAACCAAACGCCATGGAATTGTCTGACCGTAAACAACGATACGGAAGCTTTCACTTGCTTCAGAAAGATTCGATGGTTAACAGGGGATTTTAAAAAAAGAAGTAGGTGTAGCGATCAGTAAAATTGTTACTTTATGTTGTTTCAATATTTAACACTCTACAGAAGCGATATTTTTTTACGGACGTAATATCGATTGCTACTGTACACTTGGTGGTTTAATCAAACTCGGAGTAAAGCCTTCATGGATCACGTTGATTGAGCCGAGCTCTTTCAATTCCTGCAAAACGCACAACCAAGCTTTCTTTCACAATTACGAAGTATGATTATGTATATTTCATGATAAAATAATTCGTACTATTGCGATAAAAGAGATATTACAGTATTGTGTATTTACCTATCTAAGGTGAACAAAGTGGTGACAAATGCCATTTTACAAAGTGGAGTTCAAGTTTTTTCCGAATGGACCGTGATCGATTGGACTCTGATGGAAAATGATGATGCAAAGATCATGATCAAGAGTATTACGATTAAAAAAGTGGAAGAAAAAAAAAAGTTGACTTGCGACGCTCTTTTCAATTTCTACGAGAAAACGATCGATTTAAACACATTTTTAGGTAAACGCGCGAGAATACATCATCCTACTAATTTCTAATTAATTTTCAATTACGTTTAAAATTGCGTTTAATGGATATCGGAAATTCAATCTCTCACATCGGCCGGTATTCGTAGTCAGTTCTTGTTTTAATACCGTCTTAATAAGGCTCCTGACTACTCAGCCAAGAACTCTGCGTTGACGGTGACAATACAGTATCAGAAGGCGGTCTGGCAAAATCGGTAGCCACACACTTAAGCACGCAGGCGAGCACACGGACATGGGATCGTGCTTGTATGTGTGTTACAGCGCCACACCACGATAAATGGCCGAACTTATAGGCGTGGAAAAGTGACATTTTGACCAGTTTTGACGACGAAATTTGTGCACAATGCCATTTCGTTATTATTTGCTTAATTGTGAAAATGCGACTTGTTTCGCACTTCTCAAAGTCGTAATTTTCGATGACAACTAAAGTTATCTTGGAATTTTATACGTAAAAGTGTATATTTAACTCGTTTCAACAGTTATGAAACCGTGTGTTTCTGCCAGAATACAGACTCACTTTACGAGTCTTTTACGACCATTTACTGACTATCAAGGGAGAAAAGGACAGTTTTCATCGATTTTTACAAGTGTTTTAAAGCGAACCCATCGTTTAATTTCATCCAAATTGTCTCTGTTTACAAATGGCATCGTGCATAAATTAACGTGTCATTCCTCGCTTCTGACGTCACGATTCCAACATGGCCGCCGCGACTACTTAGGGGCCTTAAGATGCTAATACGGCCGTCTGATTGGTTTATGCTATCTTAAGACTATACTTAAGCAACCTCAAGTATAAGAATTGACTATTAATACCAGCCATAATTTATACCATTTCAGCGTTTTGTCGAGCTGGTCTCATTTTCGATGGTTCATTAGTAATAGACCCGGAATATCGCACCAACGATCCGTTTATTTTCGCCGCTGGTACCGTGACGAAATATTCCCGAAAATTTTACGCCGACGTCTGGCAGCACAAATATTACAATAGCATGGAAATTGGAGAGAGAGTTAGTAGAAAAGAGATTTTTTTTTTTAAGGAGGCGTATAGTATCTTTTTCAATCAAACTCATCTTTTTCAAATTAAACTAGTTATAAACAAAATACTTATTACAAAAATTGTCAACAATAATTTATTACGCATATAATTAGTTAAAATTAACGAATATAAGTTCTATATGTTGTCAGTAGATGATTTGATAACGCTCTTAAATAGATTTGATTATGATAGACGCAACCGTGTTTAAACAAATCAAATTGTCTACCGGATCCCGATAAATGAACCAAAGCCAATAGGAACATTCTTTGTTCAACCTCGATGCAACGCAAAAGTTCCCATTTCTATTAAAAATTATATATAAATTTTCTTAAAATTAATCATATCGATCGTGTTCACAAATTTCTTTTATGTGAGCGTAACAAGAATACTTTATATTGTAATATATTTAAAATATTAAGTAATTTAATTAAAAAATACAATTTGAATAATAGTTCTAAATTAACCATGTCAAGAGAATAAAAATTATAAAGATCAATATACGTCAAGAGAATAAAAAGATTGAAAAGATCGATATACTATAATACTTTTTATACAAACTAACCTGCGTCGAACGATAAAATACGCAGTAATCCAAGATCTAGAGTCAATGTGATTGTGTTCAGCGTTAAAAACGTTATATTAATTTTCGTACGTGTTCGACGGTTTATACATATACATTCACTGAGATGGTAATGGAAAGTTCTAGAATTATGTAGAGGACGATATTTTAAGTAACGGAAAATATGATACCCTGAATTTCACAATAAAAATATAGAAACGATGATTAATACACTGTTAAATAATGGCTATCCGTTAGACTTAATTTTTATTACTATTAACAAAAGAATCAAATCACTATCTCGACGAAAGAATTTATATAAGAACAACGTTCAGGACAATGATAATTCAATTAATAAATATTTTATAGTGCCATACATTAAAAACATTTCAGAAAAGTTTAAATCTATTGCTAAAAAGAATTGTTTTAAAATCGCTTACAAACCAATGAATAAACTTAATTCTATTATAAAAACAGGGAAAGACAAGCTTAACAAAATGGAACTTTGTAATGTAGTTTATAAAATCAATTGTCTGAGCTGTGAATCCTCATATGTTGGGCAAACGAAAAGAAAAG